TCTCTCTCTCTCTCTCTCTCTCTCTCTCTCTCTCTCTCTCTCTCTCTCTCTCTCTCTCTCTCTCTCTCTCTCTCTCCCTCTCTCTCTCTGTGTGTCTCTGAGTCAAAAATTTCACTCCCATTGTCATTCGTCGAGTGGGCACAGATTCGCTCACTCGTTTCGTCAAGCAATCCAGTCCTGCCTGCCTCTTACTCGGATGTACTTCACATTTCTTCACAGAGCAGCCGCCCAAACTCCACTTTCGCTCTCCGTGTGATGACAATACATGAGCGGCTAATCAGGCTGATCTATGCTGCAATGAATTGGAAAATCGGAAATGAAAAAAAAGAAAGTACAGTAGGAGTTACTCAGGAAGAAAATTAGCAATCTTAAACGTTGGCTCCATTTTTGCATCATCTCGAGCACTTTCTTCGAACCTTCACCTCTTCGAACACTAAACTTCCTTCCACAATGGCCCTACTTTTGCTGATCGACACAACACACACACACACACACACACACACACACACACACACACACACACACAAGCAAAAAAAAAGAACGGGAATGATATAAAGGGCATGGATTTTCTTTCTACAAACCTCAGTTCTCGCCGGTCCTTCCTCTTCCTTTCCTTCCTTCTCCTCTCCCTATTTTTCCTTTCAATTACAATCCCACTCTCCATTATCTCTTGTACATGTTTCAATTATTCGTCATCTTCCTGCTCTCCTTGTCCTCTCCTCCTATCCATTCCTTTACCCTCTTTTACCCTATCCCACTTTTATCCCATAGCTGCTGCTCCTCCTCACTTTCGCCCAGATACCTCATGCCCCCTTAACCATTTATCTAAGTCTCACGAAGAGAAGACGCCCAAAGGCCTTGCATGGGATTGCTACGTGTGTTGACGTCGGTGCTCAGCTCACAAAGGATACGTGCTGCCACGTCAGACACGCGACTCTCTGTCATCGCAAGCTCAACGAGCTTGCTCTCATTCGCCACGAGAATGTCCCGGTTCCTTGGCTCAGAGGCAAGGCTTTCCAGTATGAGCGCTGCCTTTCGGCACACGTCTACAATGGGATGAGGTGTCAGAATGACAGCGAATAACCTCTGAACCGCCCACCTCTCCTGGCCAACTTTCAGCCGCGAATCAATGTCTATATCCACAAAATTGTGCAGTGCACCGATTCCCGCAGCTTGCACATCAAAATCTCCGAACCCTATGAGCTCGACAAGTCTCGAGTAGATCTCCGGGCCAAAGGGAATGACCAGCAATTCATTGTCGGGGGAAACCACTAGCCGGCCAATCGCTTCAGCAGCAGCACAATGAAGTGACTTAACAGGCGAATCCAGCATTGCCTTGAGAGCAGCTAACACTCTTTTCACACTGAAAGGTCGTCGACCCCCATTTGGCCCTCCCCCTCCGCCTCCCAGCCCTCCCCCTCCTCCTCCGCCTCCTCTACCTCCCATGGTATTCCCATCTGACTGACCCACAAACATCCTGAGGTCAATCGCCGGAGCCAGGTTCAGGAAGGTATCTACGGCATTGGAGACCAACTCCTCGTCTTCAACGCGGTACGCTTCCATCCATTCCACCAACGACTCTATGCACTTTCTGTTCGCCGCCATGGCTAACTCGTTCTCCGGCATAAACGATACATTACGAAGAACATTCGACGCTGCAACTGCACACTGCTGCTTCTCCACGCGACCCCCCTCGTCTAGGTTGAAGATGCCATCATCTGTCCACCACCATTCATCCTCATGGACAGCATCCTCCTCGTCTGCCCATGGTCGAAATTGCCCATCCGTTTGCCATCCACTTCCGAGATCTCTCTCCCCCACGCCGCCTCCTACAGAAGGGAGCACAAAAGTTCTTTCCTCTTCCACATCCTTCTCCCCTAACCCCCCACTCGACAAGCGCTTTCCCTCCTCCACCACCAACTTGTCCATGCGATCCCCCCCCCCATTGTTACCTCGAGTCCGCTTCCTGGAAGCAGCAACAGCAAAGAAAGGTTCTTCAGGGATTGAAGCAGGAGGGTCGGGAGGGGCCATAGCTTTGTCACCAGCGTTACCTGCTGCTGCAGCAGCTGCTGCCGCTGCAGCAGCAGCAGCAGTGGAAGTGGTGCGATAACGCCATAGGGGGTCATCTGAGCTGAGAGGTTCATGCTCCCAGCCAAACCCCGTGTATGGGCGGTCTAGGCCCAAGACTCGAGCTCGACACAAAGGAGCAGAGTCACGTATGTGGGCAATGTCACGCCATTCATTGACAACATGCAGCAGAGCATCGATCAGCCCCGGCAGCTTGGCCAGTGGAGTTGTCTCCTTACGCACATCATCTTTATCACGATACGATAGCACAGTCAGAGCATTCAATGCCCAGGCCACCTCCGACTTCAGACCACTCTGCAGAGCCATAACAATCCTCTTGACATGAACATCAGCGAAGGTGCCGTGGACTTGAAGATGGGGACCCATGCTCGGCGTCATTGGGAGGGCAGGGGTAGGGTGTCCAGTCGCTGAAGATGGATTAGAGTCTGTCCCAACAGCAGCAGCCGCGGCGGCAGCTGCGGCTGCCCTGTTGCGCTTCGTGGGTGGCGGTTGTGCAGCAGCCAGTCCACCTGGACCTCCACCCCCTGCCACTGCTGCTCCCCCGCCACCAGATGCTGGTGCAGCCATTTCTGCCCCCCTTGCTCTTAACCGCAAAACCCCTGCTTCTGCCACTCTAACGCCCTGTTTGTCCTTCTCCCTATACCTTCACTGCCGACCCAACTTCACCTTCTTCCATGAACATCATTTTCCCACCATGTTGGCTCTCGTCACCTCCCATCCCAGCACTCTACTCTCCTTCGCCCCCCTCTTCTCTTCCCACTCTCCCCTCCTCTCCCTCCCTCTGTTACCTCT